TTATAAATTCTACAAATACAAATCTACCACACATAAAAAAAAACTTATATACAATCCCCATTCTTAACCTACCAACTAGCAACAACCAATCATATCCTTACCATTTTATATTAAGATAAATAGAATCTATAAATATATATAAATAATATCAATTTAAACATATTCAAAAATATAATAAAAATATAAAACATATAAATTAGAAATATAAATTAAATATAATTCCAGACATTATTCCAAATCCTATAATTTAATTTCCATATATATATATATATTATATTCATAAATTAAGAAATTAAAAATAAAAATATTAAATTCAATAATATTCAATATTTAATTTATAATATTTAATAAACTAATTAATTTTAAATTTTCAAATATATAATATATATAATATTAATTTATTAATATTTTTATTTTATTAAAAAATATTAATTTTATATTTATATAGATTATATTTCATTGAACATATATTAATATATATTATTCTATTTTTTAGAATAATTATATATATATTATTATATCCGTATTAAAAAATAATTTTTAGGTTTTAGGGGGCTCAATGACCTCAAATAAATTTCAATGGTCAATATCCATTGCTAGCAATAACAAGAGACGCCCCCTGTTGCTGATTCCAGAATACTATAATTTATATAATATAATCGGACAGGAACAAGCGCAGCATCGAAATCCACCTTTTTTGAGAAAACTAACTATGGCCAGAACGAAATGTTTCATTCGGTCCAACGCTGAGGCTAGGGATTATGGAGGTGTTGGGTTTGTGGAGTTTCTTCATGTCAGTCTCTTCCTTCAGCACCGACCAAATCTGGCAAGGTTCACCCGAATTCCAAGATACTTCCTTTGTATTTGCCAAGTTTCTAAACACCACCATTTATAACACGGTGAAACCTATTCGAAGTTGGGGGCGAAGCAACATCGATCGCCCGCTACTTGGATTCCTCGCTGTCGCTCCCTGAGAAACCATTGACCTCGCAGGGGTTTCACCGTGATCCATGAATATCGGGTGATCCAGGGTGATCCATGTGACACTGGTTTCTAGCCTCACAAGCTCCATGTGAAACAAACGACTTCTTGATCTGAAACATGGAGGAATTTGACCATATTTCCACCCAAAAAAAAACAAACACCCTGAAGTCGCCGGCGCAGGTTTTCATCAGGGCCTCGTCTTCTGTTTCTGTTTCATCTGCACTATCCTCTCTCTTTAAGTCAAACCTGGATGCGGTGCTGCAACCGGCCAACTCGCTAGAGTATGTGATCGCCGTGGTGATAATAAGCTGCAGGTGTTTCTCAGACTTAGGATACCTCCGAAGCATTGGGTTGCCTATCAACATTTCCCAATGAATTGGATGATTTTGGGGTCCCTCAAAACCACAATCTATAAGGGGTTTAACCATCAAACCTTGGGATTTGCCACTGAAAAATCATCACTTTCCCTTTTGACGTGGCAATTTTCTGGAATATCCTCTGGTAATCAAACATGGCTTGCTGGACAATTCACCATTTGACATGATTTACCCATTCAAACTTCCACTTATGGGGGATTTCCCAGGAAACTATGTCTGATTAATAGAGAATATTAACCCATCTTCCATTCAAGAAACCAATTCACACTGCAATATGATATCTCATTCAATCCCATTAGCATTAAATCCCACATATTCTGATCTCTGAAATTTCATGTCAAAAATGCCCGATTTCTATTGAGGTATTCGTCAACGGCCCAAAAATGGATGGTTCCTGGAGAAACCCCTGAGGCGTCCCACCCATTTTCTGTAGCGCCATGGGACCGTCGTGAAAACAACCCACCTGGCCACCGAAATTCCTGGGATTTTTCATCGGATTTCCTGGTGATTTACTTGGGATATAGTATGATATGGTTATTTAATGGAATGGCATCTTTATGCGATGTGACTGGAAAAACTTGATTTTCATGGGATATCAATGAGATCATGAGGATATTGATGTCCATTCCCCTTTCATCGCTTCAACAAACCATGGTTTATGGGGGATGCTTAGTAGGAAGGAAAGGATCCAGGATATGAATCACACTCACCAGCTTCAGGAAAAAATATGGGCATATCACATACATTCATACATATATATATATACAATGGAACTTGATGTTGTATGGGTGTGTTAAAACACCCAATCTCCATTTCAGGTGAGATTGGAAACACCGTTCAAAATCATGAACGGCCTCGAAGATGTGCTTGTCGTAAGCACCCAATAACTGCCATTGTTGCGAAGGATGCGACAGCCTTGGGAACTTGGGAGTACCCCAAGTTTAACTTGGGATTTTCACGGGTTTTTGGTTTTTTTCTGCGAGCTGTGAAACAGTTAAGCACGTAACCACCCCTTTTTTCAAAGATAGTACAGATGTCTCCAGCTGGCAGCTCCATGCCTTGAGGCCCCTGCTAGCAAGGATGACACACACATGGACGACAAGCACCCGCCGAATGCAACTGGGCATTTGGCTCAAGACCTGAGGCCTGAAAAAAGGTACAAGCTGTTGCTTGGCGGCCGACTGTGTTTCCCTTGGGTTATGAGCCCAAACCCGTTGCCTTAGCGCCATGTTGGAACGTCGGCGCGCTTCGCAGCGACAGGCAGAAGCTTCTGCCGGTGAAACCGCAGAGGAAATGTTGGAGAGGTTGCAGGATGAGCTCAACGCTGCTCCAACTACCACTGCAGCACCGAAAGCAGCGGCTCAGGGCTCAGAGTTTCTGAGCGTCAGTGGTGCCTCGACTAGCACCGTGGTGGGTGGCGCCCAAGCGGGTGCTTTGGTTGAAGGGCCGACGGCCTCCGGGGCTCTCCTCCCGTTGGAACCGTTGAAGCCACTGGGACCAGCGAGCTTTGCTGGGTTGGATCTCGGAGATGAAGCACCAGGTGTTCGACGAGTGGTTGTCCATGAAACTGGCGATGGTGAACAGCATGCACAGCGTGAAGACCCTCGAGAAGCTGCAGATCTACGACACCCTGTTGGTTCCCCGACTGCACTTGGCCCTACGGTTGCTCGGCGAGAAGATGGTCAGAGGACTGTAGATGGTAGTCATGTGGTTGGTGGTAACCCAAATGGGGATGGGATCACTAGTAGTGCCTCGAAAGGGGATCGGGTTGTGCTGATGGGATCTAGTCCAGGGGATAGGAAACTCTGTAGTCCAGCTAGTGTGGAGAGACCTCCGGGGTTGTTGCAGCATGGTGCGCCGGAATCCCAAATGGTGAAAAGACCGGATAGTTTGCCGGAAGCAAGCGCTTCTGCTGGTGTTCAGCTGAACCCGTTTTGGAGCCCTGAGGTGAAAGCAATGGAAAGGTTGAGAGGCGAAGGTTGGGGAATAGGACAATGGGTTGAACCAGATACCCCCCAAAAACAGCATGTAGAACTTGACCCCATTGAACTTTTCCGTATAAGGTGCTTGCGGGAAGCTGAAGAAAAATTTCGGCAAGGGCTGTTGATGATGAAGCAGGATCAGGGGTCCCAAGCTTCTTTTGCCTCGGCCGAAGAAATTCCAGAGACGGGCGGACCGAAACCGCCTCCAGGACCACCGCCAGCTTCACCGCAGAAGGTGGATGGAGTGAGTGGTGGAAGTGGTGGTCGACCGCCACCGCCACCGCCGCTCCCTGTTCCTCCTTTTCCAGTGGAGCCCGCTGGGGTAAGTCGGGGAGCCGGCTTTCTGGGAGAGAATCCGAATGAGACCCTGAGAACCTTTGAGCTACCTCGGCTCACAGTCGACACGACGGCCCTACAATTCGGGGACTGGATGAGTATGGTGGATTCCCAAATGGGAGATCTGTCGTATTCCTCCAACCTCTGGTGGGGTATGGTGAAGTCTGCGGCCGAATCATGCTATGGGGAGTGGTTGAGATCGGGTCCGCTGGAAAGACTTAGGCTTAGACCAACCCTGGATGCCAATGCAAGTCTCTGGCCTCGAACTGAACGCAGAGCTGTGGCGATGTTGCTACAGGCCATTCCTAGTGCTATCCGAGATGACCTGGTGTCGTCAAGAAGGATGACTTCAGAACAGATCATCTTCAAATTGATGGTCGTTTACCAGCCTGGTGGGGCAGGTGAGCGCACCAAACTCCTTCAGGCCATCACTGGTGGTATGTTTGGAGAAACCATGACCGAAGTGTTGGAAGGTATCCGACACTGGAGAAGAAATGTGAACCGAGCCTCTGAATTGGGGGTGACTCTGCCTGACGCGTTGGTTTTGGTTGGAGCTCTGCAGCGGGCTTCGGACTTTTTGAGCCAGAAGTCACCACAGGTGGCATATCGTTTGAACATGATACGCCAACAACTCAATGTGGATCACCAACCCACAAGAGACACGGTCATGTCGTACTCAGAACACCTCCAAGCGGAGGCCGAAGAGATGAATGTGAATTCTCAAGGCCTGGGACTGGGCCAACCTACCTCCAAGAGTGGGGGCGGGAAGGTCAACGTTAAGTCGTTGAATGGACCAAGCCCGGGCGCTTCAGCAAACAAAGCTCAGCATGATGGTGCTGACCAAGGCGACAAGGCTGGGAAACCAGCTGGGGGGTCAGGCATCACAGCGGCTAATGCGGGATCAGTTACGTCGTCAATGGCGTGCAAATTTTGGGGCACTGAGAACGGCTGCCGCAAGGCGGACCAATGTCGGTATGTTCACTCGGTCTTGAATCCGAAGGACAACCGCTGTTTCAAGTGTTCCGCTGTGGGGCATTCTAAGAAGGATTGCCCGGTGGGGAAAAAGAAGATTGCCAAGACAAAGGTTGAAAAGGATCATGCCAGTAGTTCTGCATCCGCTGCCAAGGGCGGTGCGGAAACTGCAGTGAAGGCTGAGCCAAGTCGTCACACCACGTACCGTGAAGAAGGTACTCCGACTAAACCGTTGGAAGACAAGGAGGGTGTGGACGATATGGTGCAGGATTGCAAATCCGTTTTGAAGGTGATCGTGCCGGTCATGAAGACCATCTGTGCCAAGGGGGCCTTGTGTAAGGCTGCCAGCGAGATGATTGAGACCGGTCTCCTGGATGGTGGGGCTACCAACCCGTTGAGAAAAGGGTCCAAGGAAGAGATCGAAGCGGCAACATTGGTTGACGTGGAGCTGGCAACTGGATCTGTCCAGTTGTACCAGAACATGTCTACCGGAGTGCTGCTTTCGCCCACCGAAGTGGAACCGATCGTTCCGCTGCGGGGTGTTGTGGCGTTGGGCTACAAAATCCGATGGGATTCGCGGGGGTGTGTCATCTCACATCCAGAGGTGGGTCGCATCTCTTGTTGGTTGAGAAATGGATGTCCGGTAGTGAGGAAGCAACATGCGCTTCAACTCATCAAAGAGATTGAGGACCAAGAAAGGTTCAAGAGAGTGGGTCCGAAACTGGCCGCGGGGCAGCTTTCGGCGGAAGAGCGTCAATGGTGGAATCAAAGGTACCCGGATGTTCCGGATTCAGTTTTGGAATTCATGGTGGGGCAGAATGCTGGAATGCCAAAGGGAGAAACCCTACCGTGGAACCGCCGAGTGCGCAAGCGCCTGCGGAAGGCGAAGGGGGTTATAATCCACTTATTTGCCGGCTCGAGGCAATCTGCTCGAGAGTGGCAAAAGGGATGGCCTCCTGGAATAGAAATACTCACGGTCGATACGGCCGACAGTGATCAACAGAATCTTCACCGACCAGAGGTTTGGGCCTTTCTCGCACATGTGGTGCGAACTCACCCAATCGTGGCAATCATTGGGGGCCCACCATGTCGAACAGTAAGTCGCTTACAAGCCCTTCAGTCTGGACTGCGACCACTGAGAGATCGGTGTGAGCACAGGTTCGGACTCCCAGGGCTGAGTGACCAAGAACAACACAAGGTGGATGGAGACAGTGCTCTTCTGCTAAAACAGGTTGGGTTACACCGGCTGGCCGAGGAATCCAAAACGGATGACAATCCAAGGGTGGGATTCTTTTTAGAGTCGCCGGAAGACCCTGCCGTGTGGGCAAATGAAGCGAATTCTCCAACCTTTTGGGTATGGCCGGAAGTCACTCAACTCCTAGAACAACCTGACATGCGGTTGATATCGTTTGATCAGGGTCGGTACGGACATGAGAGGGTGAAACCAACCTCTTGCTTGTCCAATCTTCCGTTTTTGGAGGATCTGGATCAAGCGCGCTGTGAAAGACCGCATGGAAAGGTCTTGCATCCAGAAATTCCAGAGAGGGTCAAACAGACCGATGATTGGTCTGCATGGGCCCCGGGACTCAAACACGCCCTGAGGGTGTCTCTGAACCTGTTGATCCACCAATGTGGATTAGCGGACAACCAGTTGAAAAAGGCTTTGAGCCGTCAAGAATGGAGGACTCACATCCTTCAAGGCCATCGACCATACAGGCGCGACTGTCGTGCTTGTGTGCTAGATATGGCGGCAGGACCACCCCATCGCCGGCGAATGTATTCTGGAACCTCGGCATGGTCACTTGGTGTAGATGTGGTTCTGTTTGGGGAAACAAAAGATTCCATTTCTGGGGATCAGGTCAAATATGCGGTGGTAGCCACCGCCTTAGTCCCGGTATTCGATGAGGATCACCAACCTCCGCTCCAAGAGCCGCCCACGGAAGTGGTGGAAGCGCCAGATTGGGGGGAGGGTTTGGAGGAATCTGAGTTCCCATTGGAGGGAGAAGAAGAATCTGGGTCACCAGAGCTCGGCGACGAAGTTGCCAAGGCGTCCCACGATCCAGCCAATGCTCCGGGGGCTGACCCTGAAATTGGGGGGGAGGCATCCCCTGAGAAGTCAGGTGACTGGGTTGATGAGGAGATCAGCAAGTGCAGCCGACCTCTGAAACTCAAACATGTGACCATGGTAGAACCGGTTCAGTCACGGTCTACCACCGTAGTGCTCAACGCGCTATCACAATTGCTAGTTCGTATGAAGTCATATGGCATCAATGTGAATCGTCTCCACTCCGATCGGGCCAAAGAACTGATTGGTAGGCAAACAGCTGCCTGGTGTGCAAAAAATGGTCTCAGACATACCTTTGGTGGTGGCGATGACCCCGCCAATAATGGTCATGTCGAAGCGGAAATCAACCAACTGAAACGCAGAACCAGGCTTTACCTGCGGAATGCTGGGTTTACAAACGATGAGTGGCCCACCGCTCTCCGGTACTCGGCCGAAGAGAGAATGAGGGTCCAATTGAGTGCCCTGGGCGTCACCATGATGCCCATGCTTCCGTATGGTGCCTCTGTGGTTGTGAAAAGGAAACGATGGCATTCCCCTGGAGTACTTGCTCCTCCGTATGT